AGGCTGCTCAGCCGAATCGCCTTCATCGATGAACTCGGCCTCAAACTCTTCAAGAGGGTCGTGGCTTCATTCAGCAGGTCCTTCATCTCACCGGAAGTTCCTGCACCCTTGTCGCCTTCACTGGACAGGTTGTGCTCCATCGGCTCGCTCCCCCCAGTCTTCGGTCCAGGCTCAACCACGTCGTTCTTGGCCTGGGCGACGATGTTCTTCTCCTTGATGGACTTTACCGCCTGTTTCTCCGGGGAGTCGCGGACCTTCTGCTTCGTCACTGGGCACTCCTTCTTCGAGTGACCGGTGCCCGAGCATCCAAAGCACCTGCCCTTCTTTTCAATGCCCGTCCAATCGTGCTTGAACTTGCAGTCCTGGCCCTTTCGACATCCGTCCTCAGAGCCCCAAAACCTGCACAGCTTCTCCTCCCGGGCACCATCAGACTTCGGCTTTCCGGCCGACTTCTCGGCCTTGTCCTCCGTGGCCGTGATCATGGCCTTGACCTTGGTCGCCGGCTGAATTGGCTTCACCTCTCCGGTGGGCGGCACCTCACTTATGACCAGCGACTCCGCCTCAGCCGTGATCATGTCTGCGAAGTTCAGGACTGATTCCAAGGTCGGCGTGACATCTACTAGTACTACTCCCAAGGCCACCCTCGTCGAAGAGACTCTGAAGGCCGCTTGGCCCGATGCCTTCACGATCTGTTCCGACATCTTGTCCAAGGCCCCGAGGAGCAGGGTTGAGTCAGGTGTTGCAATCTCCAACTCTTGGGCTCGCCTCAAGCTGCGATGCCATCCCCTCAACTGCTCCACCGTCTCTGCCAGGCTCTGTGGATTCTTTGGTTCCACCAGCTGCCTCAGGAGTCGTGACCGTTCAGCAAGTCCTCCTGGTTGATACCTCCTGAAGAGGGCATACAAGATGTCCACGGAGCTCGATGCCCTGTTCGCCAGAATTTCGGACCTGATGAAGGTTGGGACCGAGTTAAGAAGCATCAGCTGCCCTCGTTGTTCCAGTCGGTTCCACACCGTGGCGCATTCTCTCGGCACCTGGGTCTTGATGTGAAGCCTCTGGACTGGTTCTGCACGGAGCCATTCTCGGTAGGCTGCCATCGCCAACTGCACAACCTCCTCCCACCACCTCCATGAAGTCGCACTCAGATCTCTCATTGTCGGAGAGATCAACTGGATCCAATCTCCCAGCACTAACGACCCCAATTCTCCGTCTCGAAGTTCCGGAAGGACCGGCAGCTCGACCGATCGAATGGTCTCTCCCCAGTTTCCTTCAGGTCCTCCAGTTCCCAGCTGCCGGAGCACGGATTGGGCAGCCTGCTCCAAAGGTGACCCTTTCGCAAGATCCCCATCCCTCACCGCACAATCTGGTAGACCTCCTCGTCCAGGGTCAAAACCGGCTAGACGGTCCGGGAGTGGTGTTTCTGGTGCGCCTCGTCCATGGTGACCCACACCCACTCGCTCTTGAACTCCAGCCTGAAGCCCTCCACGCCAAGATTCTGGTACGGGTGGAGCTCCTCGTCCATCGTGATGACAATCTCCCCAACGTCGAAGGTCAACAGGATCTGGAGCTTCACCCCCATACTTCTCATTCAAGCCCGGGAACTCCGGGACCGCTGCAAGTCGGGATGTCCCTGTTCCCACCATCTTCTCGGGTGTCCCAGGGGGCGGGCCTTTTGGTGGACTCGGTGGTGGTGTAGTCGACGGCGGTTTTGGAATCTCCGTCTTGACCTCCCGGTCCACCTTCTCCTTTGCGGAGTCATCGATCTTCTTCTTGAGGTCCGCCAGTTCCCGCTTGAGCATCGAATTCTGGTTCATGACCGCCTTAAGCACCTCCTTCAGATCCACGGTAGGTTCCTCAGCCCCCGCGGCTCCCGCTCCTGACCCGGTACTCGTCGGCGGCAATGAAGTAGGCCTCATAGCACGGAGCATCACCTCGTCCTTCAAGGTCTGACTCCAGAAGGGGTTGATGTCCAGTGCTTGCCCTCCACCACTTCCTTGGCCCTTTCCATCTCGCCTTCTGTCTTCTCGTCGTTGAGGACCGTACGTGGTTGGAGGTCCCAAAGCCACTACCAAGGCCCCTGGATCAACCTCCACGGGCTCCGGTCGAGCATCCTCCAAGGCCAGCGGTCCATCCTCCTTCGCCGACTCCATGGATCCGCTTCCATCCGGCGTCGACGAGCTCATGGCGGCCAGCAACCCGGTGACCCGCGCGGTCACTCGAGGTGGTCTTCGAACCCTCCCTAGAGAGTTGGGCTCATAACCTACGCGATCGAACTGGCCGATCTTTTCCTCGGCACAAAAGGGGCTTCGGTTTGAAGAACAAACCTGTACGATCATAGCCAAAAGGTCGTGAGTTCTGACCCGGCTTTCGGAACTTGGTACACTTCTCATTCCAAGTGCATTCCACCACACCTTCAAACTAAGTACACTTCTCGATTTGGAAGTCATGAAAAAACTCACAGCACAATCAACCCATTCTCGAACTACATCGAAATTGTTGGAATTCTGATGTCGTCTATGCGCCTGAGGAAAAATCTTCCAACCGCCATTGATTCAACAACCTGAAGCCTGAACAAAGATTCTTCGACAAACATTGCTTTTACCACAAACCCAGGGTCAACCGCCGAACTCTTTTCATGGTCCAAAGCCAGAATTCGGCAGTTTGGGGGAGCACAGCCACTGCCATGCGCCGGGTCGTTGCACCGGCCTTGCCAAGTTCGCTCAGGTGCGGGCGGATGAGGTGTCAGGGGCCTCACCGGGCGGCCGTGATGTGATGATTGGCCGCCAAATCGTCGACCCAAACAGAGACCCAACATGACATAACCAAGTTCAATGAAGGATAATATAGTCAGGATGACATAAGGAGTGCCACATGTCCAAGTTGACTGAAGGATAGTTTAAGTTAGGATTCTGCAGTTGCAGTCCAAAACCACCGAACTTGAAAGGTCATCATGGTAGTTGAAATAGTTGAATCTTCCCCCTGGGAGCCCAGTCGACTATATCGTCTGACCGAGTTCGGTGGTTTGGGATGTCGGACGGAACTTCCTGCAACCTTCAGTCGGTCCAAGTACCAGTTGAACTGGACTTCCAGGGTTCCTGGAAGATCCTTTCCACTCCCTTGGCCGCTCCTTTGTCCTTCCCAAGACGGGAACCCATCGTGCTTCTCCAATTCAAAGGTGCCGAGGCTGACTTGCATTTTCGGCGGCCAGGGGGAAAGAACTCCGAAACACCTTCAACACCTGGATTTTGCGAAGTCGATCTTGAACTCGCCAACCTGATTGATGACACCCAGCTGATGATCCCGCCGCCCTTGCTCCTCAGTCCCGGATTCCTACGCTATGGCCTGCAAGTCTCGTTCGGCTGCCCCAGACAGACCCATCGGCTTTCGGCCACCGAACTGGGGATCACCCGTCCTCCGTGCGCGACCCGCGCGACCCGTCCTCCGCACTGACCCGGTCGGACACTCCGAAACTGGGGTCGAAAGGGGGGGTCGAAGCAAGTCTCTCTCGAGCTGAACGGAGGCCCCGGTCGGACCGTGAACGGAGCGTTTGGCGTTTGTTTTTTTTTTTTTCGTGTGAGTGTTTCGGAGTGCTCCCGTGAGTGGAAGCAGGGTGAAGCTGAAGTCGAAACGTCCTGAGAGCCTGAGAGAAGGTCTGGGCTCCAGTTCCGGTGACATGCAGAGGTTGAAGAACCCTATCCCATTCGGGCTCCAGTCGTATCTTCTGAGTTTCGGTGGGACTGGGGTGGGTGCCAGCAGGCTCCAAACACCTGAGGAGGTACTTGGAGCCCTAGGGTCTAGGATATCCTATACCAGGACCTTCTCATCTTCAGGATTGGTAGACGTGACCTTTTCTTTCGGCCTTACTTCGTGACCTCATTCCGCCACTGGGATCTCGTTCGGACGGTCACGAATGGAAGGTCCTGGTAGGTACCCCTGTAGGGTCCTAGTTCAGGTCACTTAATACCTCTGTTGGGAAGCCCCAAACAAAAGACGAGCGTTTCCTTCGAAGCGAGGCAGGCCACCGTGCTCCGTGTTCCAGCGCGTCCCGTGAAGCACGTCCCGTGGACACGTGGCTCGGGCGTCTGGAGGTCCACCGGTGAGGTGCATCCAGGGGATGAAAGAACGATAATACTCCAGGGCCTTAGGGCTTTGAACGTCCCATCTCCTCAGGTTCGGTGGGCACAGGACCCCCCCCTGGCACCTGGGCCCCCAGTCCCACCGAACGGAAACGGAGGCGGGGGCCAGGAGGTTTAGGGATAGATAGGGATAGTTGGCCTACGGTGAGGCTAGCGCAAGAGGAAGAGGAGGACCGCAGTGAGAAGCGCAAAACCCACAAGCCGAGGCCAGGGCTGTCCGTGCAGGAGGAGTCCAGCGCTGTTCCGCCGTTCCGTGGCACGAGACCACAGGAAGACAAAGGGGTCAGGCAGATGCCACTCATGTTGATCATCAAAACCTCTCTGCCAGGATGGTATAAACCCTAGATGGATCGACATGCCCTTTGAGAAGATGATTGGAGACACTTGATGTAGGCTTTGAGGTTCCAATTGATCAACGGGCCATGTTATAACTCTGCGGCAACTTAAGGCTATCATGCCTTTTTGGCACGATGCATTGGATGTAACAGGATGATGTGTAGGACTTGTTTACGAGGCTACACTGTGGGTCATGGCCATTGATGTTTGCATGCCGAGTGGTGTGGATGCGACTGTTCACCCATGTGCTTTAGCAGCTTTGGTGTGACTGTTGACACTATACATGTCACTTCATGCCTGTCCCCTTGGCCCCCCCAAAACCGTGACCAACATAGATCTAGACTGGTTTCTGGGGACATTGGGGGACAAAAAAATACGAGAAAATGGGACATGACCCCATAAAAAACAGGTACTTGTACCCATTTTCTGAAGTACTTTGAGACTCCAGGTCCCGTCTTGTCTGGAACGATGACGTCGAAAATGGCTGGCCCCACTTGCCCAAGGGTTGGCCATGCGTCGTGGCGTCGCGGTTCGATCCGAGGGGCTCAGTGGGAGCGAGGTGGCAGGCTGAACTGGTTGCAGTCTGTCACTCCAGCACCTTCATGTCGGGGTCACCGAAGATGCTTCCCTACACCACGTACAGGGACCTCCTTGGACACCGTCCAGGCACAAAGATTGCAACGTGCGCACGATAGACCCTTAGCTGTTCAAAAGACCCTTGCTGCTCGAAAGTTTGATCAACTTGATCATGAATCGTCATCAGCAACAAAGGTCCTCAGCAACAGGATTCCATCATCTTCCATCCAGACGTCATTCTCAGACACTGATAGGAATCCCTATGGATAGACCCCCCTATGGATAGGGCTCCTGGCCTACCTCCTGAGGTTCCATGGTGATGGTGGGTGCCAGGGGGGTCGGAGCCCACCTTCACCTGAGGAGATGGGACGTTCAGAGCTCTAGGGCCCTGATTTCTGCACGATGGGCCCCAAAAGGCCTGGAAGCCGGACGCCCAATGGCACGGCCCTCGCGCAGGACGAAGCCTCCGACGATGTCCGGCTCGGGGGTCCTGGATGAGAGCGACGTCTTTCCGTGCTTGAAAGATCCCCCATGATCCCTAGGGCTCCAACTAGCTCCTGAGAAGGTGGTTGGGGTGGGTGCCAGGGGGGTCTAACCACCTTCTGAGGATATGGTTGGAGCCCTAGGGGATATTCGGACTAGAAAATTGGAGGGGTTGACCCCAGGAAATCACTATCAGAATGACTAGTAAGACTGACCCCCCTCCATGTGATTTTGCATGGGGAATATTTGAAGAGTGTTCCTGGATTTGCTTATAATGCTATAAGGTGAATCGGGTGTTACGTTCTCGAACCGGGGATTGACCGCCAGGGGCGATGTGATGCGATATGTGTTTGAAGCATTTGGGACACTTCTTTCGACCCTCATCTTCGCGAAGATGGGTGACTCCAATGGTCCACGGGACGCTGAAGAACGACCAGCAAAAGCCATCAAATCAACTGGACTCCAAGTTGTTGGGACTCCGAGGTTCCGAACCTCCTGACGGTCCGTGACATCTCCCCATGGTGGTGTCGTCACCCGAAGGGGGCGCCCGAGCCGACGATGTCACCCGTTTGGGGCTCCGTTCGGCCACCCCGTCCGTTTCGGAGAAGGTGGGCCAGGGGTGGGTGGTCTTGGGGCGGTCGGAGCCCACCTTCACCTAATAAATAGTTCCGTAGAGTTGCGGGACCAAAATCCAGCACCACCCAGGACCGTGACTGTTCGTGACTGTCCGGAGTCAGAAGCAAGGCCGAAAGAAAAGGTCGCTTACCTACCCACTGAAGAGGTCACGGTCCTGGCCGGTCCTGGCCCCCCCAGCGTTTGTAAATGTGACTCCTGGAGGCTCCACACAACATCAAGTCTTCCCTAGGGCTCCTGGCCCATCTCTTCAGGTTCGGTGGTTAGACCCCAAAAATTTCCACCCTAACCACCGAACCTCAGGAGGTAGTTAGGTAGTTGGAGCCCTATTATCACACCCATGACGCGACCGGTTTGGGACTGCCAGGATGGACTGCAGAAACGGCCAGGGGTTTGGGGAACCCAATGGGTCGGCAGTCCTATGGCAGTCCCATGGAGCGTCTGGGACATAGGATCACGGCTTTTTTGCATGACACCAAGATGAACATGAGATGACTCTTAAGGCCCTCGGACTCTCTATAGGGTAGTCCAGCCAAGCGACCCAGACAGGAGGAGGGTCTATTAAATTAACATATATACACATAACACCCCTTATAGGGCTCCAAGTGCCTTCGTTTCGGAGTAGGTGCCAGGAGGCTCCAGCCATACCTTCGTTTTGCACCTACAATTGGAGCCGTCCCAAGAGTCACGGGTGGTTCCGGTGCCGGTTCCGAGTTCGGAGGAAGTCGTGAGAACATCGATGGGACGAGCCAAAGACCACCCAACCTCCATGTGCCTGGCCTATATGCTATATAGGCCTAGCACCCATTCAACTGTCTTGTCAGGACAAATATTGAAAAAAACAAGAAACCGATTTTTGGGTGGTGGGTCCCCAATCGAGGTCACTCAGCGTTCTAATGTAGACTCTTGATTACTAACTCCCCCCATTTGAATGCACGGACTTGCGGACAAGCTCCCACACCATCCCTTGCCCACTGGTGGGGCGGGTATAGGTGGTGAATGTAGTCTGAGGTGAGACAAGATCTAGAGGTACTATGTACACTACGAACGAAAGGCATGCGAAACTACGAAGGCAACAAAGTGCGGCAACCCACATGCAGGATCCTGCTCCAATGCCCAGGGAGCGGCTTAGACAGCCTTGTTTCTTCCTTTGAGGAACGACATCGTGATGCAGCTAATTGAAACATGAACATCCTCTTCATATGGGGGTGTATTCATTCCTGAGAAGGTGGTTGGGGTGGGTGCCAGGGGGGTCTAACCACCGAACCTGAGGATATGGGCCAGGAGCCCTAGGGAATAGCAAAGCGTGGGTCTCCTCATCCACGTTCTCGCCGCTTTCTCCGAGGCTGTGGGATTTCCGGATCGAGGCAGAGATGCGCGTTCGGGAGGGGGGCGCGGTGGGGGCCAGGCGGATTGGGTGAAGAGGACGAGGTTGGGTGTGAAGGCGATGTTCAAGCAAGTAGGGCTGTACAGGTCGAAGGCGGTCGTGAGTCGAATTGGCATGAATTGGCAGCGAAAACGGCAGCACCCTGTTGTTTGTTTCCAGATATTTGGATTATAGACTCATTCTGGAATGATGTTTGTGAGACCCTTGTGATGTGTGGGACATTGGATGCAGGATGATGCAGGCGTCCCCGCATCCGTAACCGTAACGGTGTGGTCAGTGACGGTTAGACATCGAAAGTGTATGGGGCTCCGTCCCTGAGGGGCCAGGGGCCGGCGATCACATCGTCTCGAAAGCCTGACAAAACAAACAGGTTCACCCTGAGGCTCATTTAGCCTCCAAATAGGGTGTCCTCCAAATAGCAAGTGGGTGTCCAAATGTCTAACCCGAGGTGGCGCTGGATGCTCAGCTGTTGGAAGCCCAAGAGCTGCAACTCACATGTGTCGCTCCAGGCGCGACGACGTCGCGCGCGGCGCCGCGGCCCACGCGGGCACGCCCGTGCCAACCGTTTTCCTGCGAGCGGGCCGAGCGAAGGATGGCGAAGGACCTGGAAGGGGGGGGCGGATTGGAGAAAGGGAACGCCCCAAACCCCCAGACACTCCGTGGGATCCCAAGACCTTCGAATCCTAAGGACCTTGGACATGATTTGGACTCCGGACCCTGGTTTTTGGGGGTCTTGACATGATTTCCGTGTCTCCAATGGCCTTCCAAAGGTAGGGCCTACAGAGATGTGGATTGACGTGGATCCATTTTTGGCCAGAGATGTGCCTACATTGGAGTGGAGTGGGGTGTGTGCAGGTCCTGTCCTGCCCAGAATCTCAGGAACCGTTTGCCCTAAAGCTGGCTGCACGAGCAGCTTTAGCCATTCCCGAACAGCACCACCCAAATACAAATGTAAGGCATATGAACCCACGTTGACACAAATTGACACTAAAAAATACAAACATTTCATCAAACCACCCAAATGTAGGTATATCCCAGAGTCTCACACCTACCCAGTTCTTTTTTTGGGGGGGGTTTGGGTCAACCACCATTTTCCAGGGAAACTGAGTGGGGTCAAATGCCGACGTTCATTCCCCGTGTTCCTTGACTGAAGGTGACCTGACTCCGCTTTCTGGCGGTTGGACTCGTCCCACCCGGTCCGCTGTGGACAGGGGCACGACCAGCTCCGAGCACCCTGCTCTCCATGTGAGCAACCACTTTGATTTAGGCTTTACTAAGGAGGTCTACGGCATGCTCTATGATTTGCTTGTCTATCATCAGTATTCGCTTGTTAACGAGATAGGGCCCCCACATAAAGGACATACTTTTTGCTTAAAGTAGTCTGAACGAGATAGCGTGATTTGCTACCAAAGTAGTCTGAGCGAGATACTGTGACATGACCTCCAACTTATTAAGTAGTAGGGTCCCCACATATGTAGTTTGGGTTTGTCCTATTACCTGTAACAGTCAGTAAACAATTATCACTAGTTCTTTAAATATTTTTAACAAGGCCTTTACTAACCATCATCATCCACTGTTGAGGTATTAGGGTAGACCCAATATATAATAGTGTGAGTTTAGTACAAAATGAATGTCGCCGGACATGTTACTGCTGGAAATGAATGGTTCGACTGCATAGGGGACTTGAAAGGGTAAAGCAATCCTGGAGTTGACCTCACAAAATGGGGGCCTCGGTCGTACGTGCTCTTAGTTTGGGTCATGTCCCATGTTCTAGGGTACTTGAAGTCGGGTCCAAGTCGTCTTGGGACGTCTCGGGTGCAGCTTTCACATCAACTTTACCACACCCAGTGCATCCCAGTTACCACTAGTAGTAAGGAACCAGGGATTCGTTCGGTCTATGGTGTTAGTCTTTGGAACCACTGGTTACCAGGTATGGTGGTAACTGGATGCCCTGGGACACATTATAGTAATACCAATCACCCAGGTCCCCATCAAGATTTCACTCAACATGAGAATTTAGTTGGTTCAGCCACCCTGATAGAGGGTATCTTGTAGACTCAAAAATCCCCCTGCCAGTTAACTTCAAAAACCTCTTCAATTTGGAGGCATTCATGAGTCCAACACGATGCCACCAGGAAGACCATCGCCCTTCGAAAAGCGCACGTGCCATGTCCAGGAGCGTGGTCGAGACACCCATTTGATATCTATGAAGTCCTGATCAAGACCCTTTGATAGATGTTATACCTGGTCAAATGCCCCCACCTCTATGCCTCCATTTGATATGAACTCATCAAGACTCCCCCCACCTGTTCCATGTCGCTGCTTTTCGCTCCTGCGGTGGGTCAGGCTGTGAGGTGCTACGCTGGAAGGGAGGCTGGTGGGTCAAACCGCGGTCGTCGACGTGCTTCGGATTACGGCGGATGTTGGGATCATGTTGGCATGTTGGATCGTGGTTGAATTCATTGATGTAGTTATATCATTTAATATGACTTGGACGCATTCTGAAACTAACTGGAACTGCATCCCATATGTGTTGTAATTATTGATTCGACTTGCGCTGAAGAGTGGAGATGTTGTATACTGCTCGTGTTTCTGATCTACTCGCAGCACCTGTGTGCAACGGCTTGGTGGCAATTTGAGCAGCCCGAAGGAGTAAGTCCCCATGCAAAGAGTGCACGGAAATGACGGCAGTGTATGTGAAAACTGCAATTGCGAACTTTACATCATGTTTATTATCAATGATGTGCCCCTGTTGTGGGGCACTAGCCATCCAAAATAGGCCGGCTTCCACTCTCAAGACAAAGGTCAGATAGGTTGCGTAGGTTCCACGGGCAGAGTTGGCCAACCGGCTAGATGGGGGACTTACTAACCATTTCTCACCAGGTTCACCAGCATTCACTGCTTTCATTGGGTCTCGTTGGATGTCATACCCTGGTTGCCTCGTTTCGGGACACCCTCCACCGCTGGTTTGGCCTTGTATTCGTTGGTTGATTAATAGATATTAATAGAGGAGATACATCTACCAAATCGTCCCCTCTATTCTTCACGAAGAAGATGTTCATTGCCATTGCCCTCAACTTGGTCGATACGGCTTGATGGCTTTCCATGGCTTACCCAGTCAGCAGCTCTATCGCGTGCAGTCATTTTGTTCAGGCGCTATGGGTCCTCTCCGCCTTGGCCCAGAGTATTTGGCTCCCTCAGCACAACGCTGTAGCACATCATGGTACATCAATACCGTTTTGCAGCTCCACCTCCACTCTATTCAGTGGCATGGCAAATTCCAAAAAGGGCTGGACACTTAGCATGCTATTAGCATGACACCTAGCAAAAACCAATCACCAGTGCCCCCTGACTAAGACCACGGTCCGCATGTCCTAGCCAACAGCACACAGCTCGGGCGTCCTCCGAGCCGCCCATATGCGCCGTGCGAAGCTGTGCGTCCTCGCCGCGTGACCACCCGAGGCGGGTGTTTTTGGCGTCACCGGCGGAGGACAATCCCCATCGAGTCCGGTTCTGCTGAATCAGGCGATTCGGCAGCGCCCCAAGCCTGAAGAGGGTTTCAAATGTTGGGGTGATTGACATGAATCAAGAGTCTACAACCAGCAGAGGTTGAAGAACCCTATAGACTATCCTATAGGTACTTCTGTAGGGTCCTATAAGGTCACTTGACCTCTGTTGGAAGTATGGCATGCCGACCTTTGAGCACCCCAAATGATCCCCAAAGCACCCCTACGATCCCCGGAGCAGGTTTTTGGTACCGGCCTCCAGTCGTACCGAACCTGAGGTACGGTGGGACTGGGGGCCCGGGGGCCAGGGGCCAGGAGGGTCCAGTCATACTTTCTGAGGAGGTACGACTGGAGGTCCCATGGAGCAGTCGGTCCCATGAAGCTGGGCAGTCGGTCCCATGGAGCTGTTTGCATTTGCAGGGCTGCCCTTCGAAGGACCGCAGCCCTGGAAGCAGACGAGCGAGAAGAGACATGACCAACAGAGGTCAAGTGACCTTATAGGACCCTACAGAAGTACCTATAGGATAGTCTATAGGGTTCTTCAACCTCTGCTGGGAGGTTCATGTCAATCTTCACAGGTTCACACAAGTCAATCCCGCGCGAGAGAGAGAGAGGGAGTAGTGTCACAAGATCAAAAGATTGCTCAAACTTTAGAAGAGTTTTGGATTCTGTATGATCTCCATGTCAGCCCCATAAACACCATCAAAAGAATGGTTGATCTGATTTTGTAGCGCACAACCCTTAGTAAAACAATGGTTCTTTGGGATTCAGACCATTAAAACAATGGTTGTTGGAATCCCAGGGTCAGTATGGCTCAGCCATCCATGCTGTCGGGCGCTGTGGAAGAAGACGAACCTCCTGTTGATACGTTTCATCGGCTCAGCTGGAGTTGCGGGGTACTTCCTCGGAAGTCCCAGAACTGCAGGGCCAGTTGCAACCCACAGACTAGGCCCCTAAGGCTCCAACCTCAGAAGCTGACCGTACCCACCTCAAATCCACCTGACACCATGAGCCCTAGGGACTGAAGTACTTGGGACCGGAACCTGGCCCAGGTGCCGATCACCGCCGAACGCCTCGGGGTCACACCCCCGGGGGCGGCTCGCGGCGATGGGCCGGCGAGCCTCTACGTCCCTACTGGAGGTGAAGCATGTCACCAAGCTGGAAAAGGGGATGGGAATGGGAATGGAGGCTTCGGCCAGGAATGGATTTCTTTCGGAATGTCCCAAGTGGTGTATTTCGAAGCGCTGAGGCTACCCAGCACGGCTGGAATCCAGCAAATCTAGGTGCAATGTGGTTGTTGTTTGCAGGTTCTGGAGCAAATTTAAGGACCTGTCCATACTTTTCCTATCACATGTTATTTTTTTCTGAAAGGGCGGCACTTGGTTTTCTGAACGCAGGTGACGACCGTGATCAGGGCACATTTGCGTTGCTTTTCCTTGCTTTTTCTGTTTTTCCTGATGGGGTTAGCCACAGTCACAGCGTATGGCGCCCGCGGCCGGTTGCTGCGATGGCGCGGGGTTTCGCGACGATCGTTGGATGGGGGTCGTGGCGGGCGACAGCCAACCAGCGGCGAATGGCTCGTGAAGCTCCTTCAAACCACCCTCCAAAGTACCAAAAACGGGACATGACCGGAACTGCAACAGCTCTACGAGGTACGAGGCCCGAATTCGAGGTGACGGGTGGACTGGAGGTCGGCACCCACAGTGACTGGCCGTCTGCGACCGAGGGCAACTTCTCCTCGATCAAGCAGCCCCGAGGTTCCGCGCCCGGTTCCAGGCCGAGGGGGTCGGTGTGGGGTCGGTGCGAAGGGGTCGAGAAGCTCGAGGATCCAGAGCGCTGAAGAAACCCAAGAATCACCCAATGTTAGGGCATATTTCTTGGCATTCCATGGATGGTATGATCAAGATGTGGTGCAACAATGTGCAACAGGGAGCTTTAAGCAGTTAGTGGGGAGAAAGGTTGTGGAGCAAGAAGGGTGCACTGCATGTTGGTGCTTCCTGTCTTTTGGAACTAGCTAGGACCCACTGCCTGCATTCGTACGCCAGGGCCGCCGCGGATCAGCTCGAAGATGTTGCGCTTCATGAAGCCACCCTAAGAATCCGGGCCCCTTCAGCAACACATCGGGTTTGGGAACCGGGCCCGTTTGACCCCTGCGTGAAACGGTGGAGAAGGTCCGACCCCCATGGAGGGCCGGAACTCGGATTCTTAGGGCAGGACTAAAGCATTCAAGTTGCCTGCTCAATACTGACCAAGAGAGGTTGAGAGACCATATAGGACCCTGTAGTGACACAGATGGGATGGGCGACAAAGGGCTGTTCAATCTGTCTTGGTACCTGGACTCACTACCAACCTTTTGCCAGTGCCACGCCTGAAAGTCCTCCGTTTCTTGTTTTGCATCCTCCGGACTCCTTGCCGTTCAGGGCTGCGAGTCGCTGGGCCAGCAATAGAAAACGGGGCTGGGAGTTGGGCGTCTTCGGTCCCTTGTTCAGGCCCACCAAAGGTGGGAAGGCCCACCAAATAGGCTAAATACGTGGGAAGACAATCCCTAGGGATCCGTTTTCGTACCAAACCTCAGGTACGGTGATGTGTGGAGACACTGTTATGTAGGTGCCAGGAGGGTCCAGTCGTACCGAACCTGACCAGGTACGACTGGATCCCTAGGGAATGAGGAGCCATAGCTTCCGAGAAGATCTGCCAGAAGCGAAACCGGCGAACTCGACAAAGGATCACCCTCGGCCGTGTTCCGTCACGTGGATGGAAGACACTATGCAAACAGTGCTTCGGTAGGAAAACACTGGGCCTGTTAGCCTGTTTCAGCCTTTTTCCCAACAAGCAACTACCTAACTACCAGAACCTTCCAACAGGTAGGTTTATGTGTTTTTTGACACCCTTTAAGCTATTTATAGACACCTCGACAGGAAGGTCTTGGTATGTAGGCATTTGGCTACCTCACAAGCTCGAACTACCGAGCTTCGCTCGTGGACCACTCCTAGTACCACTCCGAAAGTACTCGCCGTCTCGCCTCCTTGCAAAGAAAATCTGCTCAAGCAACCACTGCCAAGAGAGGTATCCAGTGACCTGAACGTTCGGACCCGGAACACCTGGGGTACCCAACTGGGATAGTCTAGTTCGGGTCATGAAAAACCTCCTCTGTTGGTGGGTGGAGCTAGCTTCCAACCCCTATAGGGATCCGTTTTCGTACCAAACCTCAGGTACGGTGATGTGTGTTCGACACTGGAGACTGTAGGTGCCCAGTCACGTCAGGTCGTTCGTCGTACCGAACCTGACAGTTCGCTATGAAAACGGATCCGGAACATGTCCAGTTTGTGACTTGATGCGACCTTCGGGTCTCAGCGTCACGTGGTGCCTGAAATGCAGACTGGCCGGAAGTGGCTGGTGACCTGTGAAGTCTCAGGTGCTAGCCGGACGCTGCAAACGGAACCAAGGGCATCGCTACGAACGGAGCGATCGCACGCTACGAACCGGGGCTCCTGGCCGTCACCGAGGGTCCACCACGGGCGCTGCGCGACGCGCGCCTCTCCGCCCCCCCCAGGCCCCGCCGCCTCCAGCGGCTCCGCCGGCCCCCGCGCATCGGGCAGTGGGGCATCGGGCGGCGCATCGCCACGGAGGCTCTCGGCAGCTTGGCCCGGTCAAGAGGGGATGGGTCCAAGCTGGACAGGTGGTCAATAGGAAGAAAGAAGGCTCAACTGCTGAAGATCCTCACAATCGAAGTGGCCTTGAACCCGACATTTCTCCAGGTGAAGTGTGATCGATCATATGTTTGACTGGTGACCAGTCAGGCTATGGATAGGAGAACAGGGCACGAGGATAGGAAGGTCAAGATGTGTAAAGATAACAACTTTGATA